CTCCTTGTTTGAAGTGTCCTGGGTGGAGTGTCAAGGGTCCCGAGAGTCCGGACCCCTCGGTTGGTGCGAAAGATCGTCTCTTCCACCCAGCAGTCACAAGACGGGGTGCCGGGGTTCGATCCATGGAGGTAGTCGGGGTGCCCCTGTCACATCCACTCACTGGATGGGACGAGCTACACCACCCCTTTGTGACCGCTGGACTGGACTTTTTGTTGGGATTCTCCTTCTCGAGCCCTCCAAGAGGAGCGGACCAAACCCTCCAACCCTCCAAACCCGTCGGCAGCCTGGGCCGGTGTCTGCTTTGCCGAAATGCATGTGCACGCCCACCTTCAAGACCTGCATGTGCACGGTTTTCAACATCGCCCGGACCAACCAACCACCGCCTTTTCACGCGGATGGCCCTCGACAGTCGTGGAGGGCACTCAGCCCTGTTACCGAAGGCCCAATCCTATAAAAACACGGCCCACAGACTGAGGTGTTCAGGACATTTCAGGACCAGGTTTTACTGGGCAGACTGGACCTTTAGGGTTGGGTCCATTGAATATGTCTGACCAAATTGACGCCCAAGTCAGATTCGTCTGAAACCCGCCACCACTGAACTCTACTACAGTATGCAGCTGCCATGTTCATGGCATCGCCTTGTCCCCCCAGGCCCCGACCATAGACTCACTCCCAGAACATGTTTGAACAATCGATCGTGCACTGAGCCGATATCACCAGGGCGTGTGCTGTCCACCGTTGAAACCGCCTGCGCTTCTCGCCATCCGTGCGACTTCTGCCCTTGCACAAAGTAATGAGCCTCGCAGGGCAAGAAAAGCCATTCGCGCGCGAGCGTAGTGCAGTCGTGGTGTTTGTGGCCGTTTCCCGCGCGCGGTCGTCGGTGTTTGTGAGGAGTTTCTCCGCCGCCCGGCATTCATCCGGTTGCCGACGGTTGATTGAAGGTGTTTCTTTTCCGCCGAAGAGCCACTGGTTCACTAAGGACTTTCGGGTACAAGACCGAGGCAACCCCTTCCTTTGAATGGTCTCGGAAGGCTAGGGATCAAGAGTCGGCCGGACTGTGATGGGGGGGGCGTGTGACAGACCGCCTGCAGACTAAGCATGCTGAACTGAAAGTGCTAGTTTTTTTGCGTATCCCCGGCTGAAGTCCAGTTCTACTGGAAGTTCCCTTTCAGTTCCCATAATGACCATTCTTTTTATAGTCTTTGACTCCCAGGATGCAAAAATAAATTGTAAAGTCATCAGAGTTCACAGTTTTCTCTAAAGCGAAAAGCCCCCTGTTCATCGTTTTTCGGGAGATTTTTGATGATTTTTGTGCAGGGTCTATAGTTAGCCTGCAGTGGGGGGTGTGAGATGATCACCGGCCCAGTCAGGCAGTGAACCAGATCGGCTCCACCACTGAGCTCCCCAGCCCTAACGCGCGCACCCTCCGCGATGCCAATGTAGTCACAAACATCTTTCCGGCCTAGAAAAACCGTGGTTTCAAAAATGGGTGGCACAAGTGTCAAATGTCCAAGTTTTGGTGGTTGGATGGAACCCCATCGAAGATACACCAGGACATAGTGCCCTAGGATTCCAAGCACAATTAATTCCATTGGCTGAATCCCGAGCAACTCATTGTTTACTGAGGATTTACACTACAAAACCAGGGTCAACTATGTTTAAATGGTCTTCGAAGGCTATGGTATTGGGTTAACAACTCCATCAAAATATATACTCTGAAACCACTGCAAGCTCGGAGTGCTCGGCGGCAATATGACGAACGATTGCCCTCTCTGAGGCCTGAAAGTGCCAAAAGAGCGCCGCAAAGCCAGCAGCATTGGGCATTGAAGGCTACAAACATGCTAAAATATGCTACAAAATTAAACATCCCTACCAGGCCACCCTAAGGGGTTTCTATTGATAGCTCCTTACAGGTTAAGGGGTGTCCATTAACCACCCCCGACCACCCCTTGTGGGTCCTGGTAGGGCTCCAGTCTTTGGGGAAGGTGGGTGCCAGGAATACCGAACCTGAGGTTCGGTACGACTGGACCATAAGTGTTGACCTGCTATCTCAACCACGACCTCTGCAGTGCCACTTCTTTTTGGAGAACCAACAGAGGTTGAAAGACCTTATAGGACCCTGGTCTGTGGTACATATGGGATGGGCTATAGGGCTGTTCAACCTCTCTTGGAAGAGGGGCATCTTTTGGGTGGTGCATCGTGGCGCGAGTGTCACTCACACTTCCCCTGACTCCTAGAAGTCCCAGGTTGATGGCGTTTCGCATCTCGCACCACACCAAGCAAGGAAACCTCCGAGCCAATCCTTTCTGCAGAACATCGTTTTCCTGCAGTCCCAGGGCACAAAACGCTCATCCGACCCAATCTCTCTACGTTGGTGTTTGACGCCACCTCCTTCCCAAAAAAGCACGACGCAGCCAAACCCACGCCCTTCCCTCCCCCCACACGCCCCGCACACGCCCACACACGCGAAGAAACGCTGCAGCTCCCGCGGCTCGTAGAGGTGCGCAGCCGGCGCTGTTCGAAGAGCTGGCGGATGCCGCCCATCTTCCCCACGAAGTTCTCGGCGCGGTTCGAAGATCTCCCCCAAGGTTGTGCCGAGTCGGTTCGCCGATGGGGAAAGCTTCCAACAGAGGTTGAAGGACCCTAGTTAGCCTATCCCAGTTGAGGTCGTAGTTCAGGTCACTTATATAACCTCGCTTGCTTCTTTTGGACGGTCGAAGACGAAGCATCTATCCCTCAGATTACCCTCGTGCTCAGCTGTGCAGCTGAGGGAGAACCTTTCTTCCTCTGAGGTTGTCTGTCAACTTCAGGCAGCGACGGGCTTACGGCTTACCGTTGTCTGTTCCGATGTGACTTTTTCTTGTCCCACAGGTTGTATCAAAAATACCTCAGTTGAGAGTCCATTTTGGAGGCACCTCTTTTGAGAAGTTGGGAGAACCTACTGGGCACTTACACTTACGGTGTTCCAAATCCCTCCAACGGGAAATCAAAGCGGCCCCCACATCACTGAGCTCCGGACTTGAAATTCTTTCAGAGAAATCTTGCTGTCCTGGCGATGGGCCAGCGTCCGAATTGGTCCACCCCTCAGAGAAGAGTAGAGTTGCTTCTTATCTTGGCTGGTGGAGGCCTCTCATACATAGGCGAAGCACTGCGAAGCACTTAAAACCCAAAGTGCCAGTAGTTCTCAAACATTTCGATGTGGGTGCAGGTGACGGACCAAATCTGTAACCACCCCTTTCCTGCTGCAAAAGACCTTCCGAAAGGGAACGGCGGAACTGGGCGGAATCCCAAAAAACCGTGCGGTCGCCGGTCCCCTGATTTCCAGGATGCGTTGGACCACTGCAAGGGGCCTGGCAGCCCTTGCAGGGCTGAAAGAAGATCGTTCTTGTGGATTCATGCGTGGATGGTGGGGATCTGGGAGGCCCCGATGGTCTGACCACTGACTCGGGGTGACCCGGAGTAAGGAACTTTCTTACCCAGACGCTCCATGGGGCTGGCATTTATGCCGCCCCATTGACCCCCCTGGCAACAACCACCCCTGGCCGTTTCTCGGCAGTCCGACATGCCAGTCCCATTAATAACCAAGAGAGGTTCAGTGACCTGAACTAGGACCCTACATGACCAGCCCTACTGGGGTACCCAACTGGGATAGTCGAACTAGGGTTCTGACCCACCTCTGTTGGAAGTCGTGTCTGGGTCATTATTCAGTGGGACCTTCGGTGGAGACGTCCTCGGACTGCCCGACGTTGCTGAAGACTCGACTCGACCGACACAACGGCCACCCTCCGCGCGGGAGCTCGGCGGCGTGCTGAAGCAGCGTTTGGGCTGAAGGAAACAGGGGTCCGAGGTCTGTCGCCAACTCGCTATAATAGCAATGCGTGGCACCCACGTCGCGTCGCGTCGACGATGCAAGTCGCCACCTTCGACATGCGCCTCTGCTCCTCTTGGGGAATGCGGAAAAGGAGCGGCGAAGAAATGAGATGTGAACGATCTGAGTATGGGTCAAAACCTATCGTGGCCCATGTGGGGGAGCTGAGGACAGCCCCGCTCTTTTCAAGGTCAGTGGTATTCAACAGGGCCGGAGAAAGGAGCCTTCTTGAGAGGAAAATCGAAGCATATAGTCAGTGATTCCCTGCCAAGTCTCTCACTTCAGTGATGTTCCAACACAATATCTTGAACAAACTGAGTGGAGAACAAAGCGCTGGGGTGGACCCCAGTGTGTTGACCCAAAGCCCATGAGATCGATCTAAGTGCCATCTTCGCGAAACCCGCAGCTTCGCCGCCCAGCAGACCCGGTCTCATAGCCCTGAGGCTCTCTCGGGGCGGGGAGGCGGGCGTCACCGGGCGCGGGATCGCCGCGTTCGCAGGTTGAAAAAAGAGCTATGCACATGGATCAGGGCTGCTGGCCTGCGGCTATTAAGTGGGTGGAAGAGCATTCCAACTAAGTTGGTCAGCTTGTGTAGCTCAGCTAGTTGCTTTACTGTTATTCCACCTCTTTGAACGCCCCAAACCATCTTCACACCCTGGCAGGCGGTCAAAGAAGATTCAGTCGAGCCCTGAAATAGCCACAGCTTGGAGCAACCCTGATCATCCAAGGGGATTCAGGTACATCTAAGACTCGGCAACTAACCAGAACACCAAGCAGTTGACACTTGACCGCCGAAAAACGTTCATTTTTGGCTTACCTGTTGGAATTTACACTAAGTCTCCTATCAAGATTGTCGAGTCAGTGCCAATAATTACCTGAAAACCCCTCTTCAATCTACCCTAGGCATGTGACTGCATCTGCATGGGTGGCAACTACTACAACACGTTTAGCTTCGTTGGAAGAGAAGGAAGGGAAAAAAAAATGTATATAGAAACACTCCATCTAGACGAGGCCGTCCCCTTCATGCCTCATCATCTGACAAATTCGTTCAAGAAGTGATCATCACAGATCCTCTCTCCAGGCTATCCATTCTTATCTTTCAGGCCATCCCACGCAAGCCGACGCTGGCTCGCTACGAAGCTACCGCCCACCGGGCTAAGAAGTCCGTCGTCGGTGTCCACCGATGCTCGCAGCATCGGCGGTCCCCACTGCTCAGCATGGGGCCGCCGTGGCGCGTGCGTTTGAAAAAAAGGCGGTGCCGACGACGCGCGGCCCGCGCGATGGTTTTCAGGCGGAGGGTGCTCAGTAGGCTTGGGCCTCGCTGCGCGTAGTGGGAGCCGTTTGGAGGTCGAGAAAGTCGGTGCTTATTGTCCTTTCCGTGGAGGCGGCATGATGGGGTGAAGACTAGGGCGAGTTTCGTGCCAGGAAGGCCAAGTTGATGGTGGTGGATGGCTGCTGAGATGATCAGTCCTAAGGCATGGGCTGAGTCAATTCAGGCTTTAAAGGAGTCATTCTGACTCCCTGGAGGAGAAGAAAAAAAAAAAAGGTCCATCTGCTCATAGCAAGTGAGCAGGTTATCCACTTTTCCTGGGCATTAGACCACTCACTAACCAGCAAGTTCGTTTGGAAAATCCTCATTCCCAGACTCCCAGACTGCCCAAGATCTGGATGTGTGACTTGGCCCGCCTTTGGTGCCCAAGACCTCCAACGAACATGAAGCCTGCGGTTCTTGACAGGTCTGAGGGTCTAGGTGGAACCGAATGTAGACTCTTGATGAATAAACCCCCAGGCAGAAGAGGATGTCCAATTGACATCGGGAGGTTATTCATCCCAACAGAGGTTGAAGAACCCGAACTAGGCTATCTTATGGGTCCCCCAGGTGACGGGTCCTAGTTCAGGTCCTTCAACCTTTGCTGGTCCAGAGTCTACATGAAGTACCGTATTCCAGCGAAAGACCGGCGCCCCGAACTCCCAAAGGACCGTCCGAACTGATCACCGACCGGTCGCCGCTTCCTCGACCTAGCGTGTCCGGTGACCAATAAGCAGCTGTAGGGTTGTCCAGCCAGGTCACCCCAAACGGAAGGTCCTGGTATACCAAGAGAGGTGGAACGTGACCCGAACTAGGACCCGGAAAACCTGGGGTACCCTGGCCTGGGATAGTCGAACTAGGGTTCTGACCCACCTCTGTTGGTAGTGAAGCTGGTGCTTGAAAATCCGTCTTCCGTGGCCTTTTTTCCTGCGAGCCCCCGACCGCTACGGCGAACCACCTGACCGCTTCGGTCGTCGCTTGCGCGGAGGCGATCGCACAGCACCGCTGCCAGCACGACCTTCCGTTGACCAACCCTGAAAGAACCCATGGGAAGTGGAGCGCCGCACGAGGAAAAGGACCTTGAAAAAAGGGGCCATGCCATCCACTTCCCTGATTGTTTCAGGGAGTGTGCTCCTGTCCTTTCAAGATTTCAACACTCAACCCGCCATGCTCGAGCTGCTAAGCTAACAGCCCCCCCCCCGCAGCCCTCCTGGGGCTCAAATAGCTGCAAGCAGCACCCTCTTCTTCGGCACCGGGGCACACGGGGCGCTCCGCCCCAGCTCCGCCCAGCTCACCACCGCACACGCTCCGCCCAGCTCACCGCCGGGGGCCCAGGCCATCCACGCGGTTTGCTCCACCTCATCGAAGCCCATCGACCAATTCTCGAACTCCCGCTCCTTGATGCATCGCCGCCTGACACCCGGAAGGATGCCCTTGGGCCGGGGACGGTGTCCGGTGTCGAGTCCCAGTGGTACGCCCAGCCGCCCCAAAGATCCAAGGGCTATTTCACCGGAGCTACCGAAGTAAAGAGGAAGTTAAGAGAGGTTAATATGACCGTAAATAGGACCAGGTACTGTGGGATATAGTCGCCCTAGAAGTCGAACCACCATGGTTTTAATAGCCTTTACCGAACAACCATTGTTTCACTAAAGGTTTTACATGGTTTTACACTACAAAACCAGATCAACCATTTAAAAAATGGTCTTTGACTTCCAGGGGAGTCGAACTAGGGTTCTTCAACCTCTGTGGGTTCTTGGGTCACCTGACATCTTTCGGTCTTGGACTCCCAAACCTTCAGCCCGCCACCTCGAAGCTCCACCCCGCGTCACTGTCGCTCCACGTCTGTCCCTGAGGCCGCTCCGAGAGCCTAGCCTGTTCGGCCACTCAGCGCGGTCCACGCCCGTGAACAGATGCACATGCGGGAAGTGGGAACCAACCAACCGGGTGACCCCTGTGTGGTCCAGCTGCCTCTTCCAGGTGACTTCAGTCGGGGGCCCAGCCCATGTCCCAGTTCCACCGTGCCACCCAAATCGCGCGTCCTCATTCGGATCTCCTTCGGAGCCCCCCCATTCCGCCGAGCTCGTGGGGTTTGCCCGCCCTTCGGAAACGCGGGACACGCGCGTCCGCGGGGCACGCCCGCGCCGTTCGCGCGTCCGCGGGGCACGCCCGCGCGGTTCGCGCGTCCGCGTATCGCCTGATGGTGTCGGTGAGCACGGAGTGGCGCCCATCCTTGTGGATCTGAGTCCAGAGCCTCGCCCAGGCGCAGGCGCCGGAGCGACCGGTCTGAGACGTAATGGGATACTCGGCCCGAGACCCGAGCTCGGGGCTGGAGACCCGAGCTCGACCGGCTCTTGACTTGAGAAGGTTGGAGAGGTGGGCCATGGAATCTGAGTTGAAACAAGTTGAAACGTTCAAACTCACAATCACACTGCGAATCATTGTATTTTATACTCTATTAACATCTTCGCCGCTTCACCCTCTTGCCCCCCCGACAAAAATGCCCTGCCCACTACTGCCCTTCCCCTATCTTCCTCTTCCTCCATCCCTCCGCAGCCTCTCCACTTGCTCTGGAGGGCCTTCCAAAACTTGATATACCACCTGCGTCCTGGACCCATTGCGCCCCGTCCGACCGGCTTTGGGCACCCGCCGTGCACGGACCAATCCACAAGGCCGGAATTGGATCGACTTCATGTAGGTTGTTGATGAATCAAACCCCCAGACCTGAAGAGGTGTTTACAAATCCTCCATGTCTGGGGAGATGTTGTGAATCAACCATCTACATGTTTTTCTTGGGCAGAAAGTGCTTCAAACGACCTCCAAGGAGAACCGCGCCAAGGACTGCTCCCACAGCTTCCCACAGCTCTCTCTCATTCTGCTCCTAAAATCAGTTTTACCGCAGTCCTATCATTGTACAGCATCCAGCCGGTGATTCCGTTCTTGCGGTTCTTTTCCTTAGGCATCCCGCTGGCCGTTTTGCAATCAAACGGTTGGAGGGCACCGACGGGGTGCTGGTGAGTGACTGTGATGTGGTTCCGGCATCCACCAAGGCGAAACATTGGAGCAAGCAAAGAACAACACTGCCTGGAACTAACATGGAGGTGGAAAACCCAATGTTTGTAAAGGGGTCATGCCATCCACTTCTGTGTTAGTGGGTCAGTGTAGCCCATGCGACAAGTCTCTTAGGTGTTGAAGCTGGTATTGAACCGTCCCAGAGCGAGCATCTGAAGCCGAAGCCACCATGTACTTCTCTGCCACCGAGCGTCAACGGCCCTCGGGACAATCTGCTTGACAGAACCCAGAGCCTCCTCATGTATCACGGACTTGTACATCAACTGCCTCAGCCCGCGCGGACTTGTACACTTGAGGCCGAGGGTTGGTGACGAAAGCTAACAGGGCAGGGGTGAGCATGCAAATGCACACGTCCCAGAAACGTCCCAGGGAGGAGTTGAACCCGCTTTTGGGGGGGCGTACGACGAGTGCCTACTGTATCATGCGACGCTGCGCTCCCTAGAGATTCCACCCCTCACTTGCTAAAGCAAGAACAACTCCAGCTAGCTGGTGCCAGCTTTCGTGACCAACTGCCGGCTGCCTCACGCCTGAACCCACGCACATTGACAACAGCAACGGCTTTCTTGTGAGATCTGGTGAGATGGCCTCGCACGCGCGCGGAGGAAAAACAGCTTCCAATCTTCCCCAAAAAGGCTGCTCGTGGGTCTGCGCTCCTTGAATCTCCTGGAGGTGAGTGGTTGGTGGAAAAAAGGGATTGCCGTTCAGTATTAAGAAGTCAATACAGGTGAGGGTGTGAGAGTGCAGCGGCCGAGGGACATGAGGTTCGTGCCGGCACAATCACCATCAGAATTCGACGCCATGCCTGGCACATCGAAGGGCGAAGTCAACAACTCTTGGACAGTCAGTCTTGTGGTCAGAGGTAGCTAGATCTACCTAAAGATCCCAGAACTGATAAAAACGTCAGTTCTTGGGAAAAAACGATGTTTTCAGAGAAAACACGGGTTCTTCGTTTTCAAGGTTTTACAGAATCTCTATAGATCTCTATAGTGTGATCATATACACAAGCCAGGCAAGCTCCCACACTTTTTTTCATCAAGACTTGATGTATCCTGCTGCACTCCACTGTGCAAAAGCCGCCTGCAATGATCGTTCAATGGTTCGCTGCACGACCTGCTGCGCAGACGTTCTTCTTGTCACCCTTGATACTCTGCCAATGTAATCTTCGTCCATCTGACAGCTGAAGACTGCAGGGTTCATAGTGAACTCATGGCGTTTTGCCAAGTAGCGCAATTCAAAGAACAGGTGCTCTAACCCGTGTTCCTTGGGAACGTGTGGGAATAGGGCCCGTGATTGCTGCCAGCTCTTGAGCGCCAACATTCCATACAAGGAAACAAACTTGAGCCCACTGTTTGCTGCTTCCAAAGCATCCTCCTGAGAGAGCCAAACGTCTCTGCTGTACAGGATCCTGACAGCTTTCCTGATGGCCCTGCAAGCTTCCAAACAATCGTGCAAAAGGCTGTTTTCAGGAAAACCTTGAAGCGCTGCCCATGATTCAAAGAAGTGGCAAAGGGATGTAGTCACATGCCCCTTCGTCCACAACCCGGCTGGATACTGAGATGTATCCTGCCAATTCAGCTTCGCTTGCGTTATGCTAATCAAGAAGGGTGATTTGTGTTCGGCTTCGCACCACGCCAAGTAAAGTTGGCTCAATTCATCAAAACGGTCTGGCAACCTGCTGCCGCACATGTTCTCAGATGCCAACACCAGAGCTCCTGCGATGAAGTATCTGCCAAGGCCCAAATGAAAGCAATGAAATAGGTCGAAGTGATAAAAGGATTCTGGTTGAGAATCGGCCCAGGGAATCTCCCTCAGTGGCGTGACCGGTTCCGCAAAAGCAGATTGTGAGAACCTTGTATGCCACCAAGTTGGTGTTGCATCGTCTCGTCTCTCATAGCGCTTGTAGCTAGTCAAGTGCTCGAATGGAATGTCCCGCATACCTGCGGAACACAGGTGGCAGATACCCACAGGATTGGCGTCAGCCCGCTGTGGTCTCTTTATGCAGTGCGTGTAGCCACGTGACAGATTACCTGCCTTCATTAGCCATGCCCAATCTCCAATTGCACCAATGCACACTGCAAAGCGCTTTTTCCCGTCAGCGCCTGGCACCCCCTCGAACATCAAGCGCTTGGCGTCCTGCGCAACAACCTTCAGGATCTCAGTCAGCGCCTCTGCGTCTTTTGTCATGCGAGGTAAGACCGCCGCAAGCATTCGACTTGTATGCGTTGGTCCCAAGTAGTTCAACTTCATGCTCAGGTACGGAGAAGACTTCCTCTCGCGGTTGGCGGCCTCCGTCCCCAGACCGAGGGCCGAATGCCAAGAAAGGACCAGCACTGCAGCTCTTTTGCGTGATCTTCCTTCGTCTCCATGCAGCAAAAGTGGAGCCGTGTGTGAAGGGTCCAAGAGACCGCTATCCACCAAATGCCACATCGGATGGTCCGGATTTTGTATCCGATATCTCCTCCAAAACTCTGCCAAAATATGTCCTTCTCTCTTCTTGTTTGCTTGTTGCAAGCCACATAATACATGGAAAGCATTGTATTCAACAAGGAACTTGAACCAGCTCACCAACCGGAGCATGCTAAGTCGACCTGGGTAGGTCATGCCAGGCGACTTCTGCAACTCAGTAACTCGGACAGGCAGGGTGAGACCAAACTTTTTGGCCACCACATTGTGGCCATCTCTCTCAGAGTGGCCTTCAGAAACCTTGGACAGCTCACACAATCCTGGCGAAGCTGATGCGGCAGCTTCCCCCAAGTCAGCAACTACACCTCGCGCAGTTCTCACAGCTGCTCGGTAGCTGGAGGCCTCAGCGAGCCCAAGAGTGGAGGGTCTATAGGAAAAGCTGTGGCACATCAGCGTAAGAACATGCGATTCAGTCTTGATGGGGCTTAAACGTCGTAACATGCTTTCAACAGCTTGTGCCAGATTGTGGCCAGGACTGAAAGCACGCAGAATGAAAGAGATACATTTTTTCACCCTCAAATCTCCGATAGCTCCTTGCAGCGTGTATGTACACGTGTATACATACACATGCACACTTGCACTTATGGCCGCAAAACCTCACATGGTCACTGTTGAAAGTTCAAAAAGAAAAGCGACCAGGCTTCAAGGTGAATTTGACCACCGGGAACAAGGTGGTGGAAACTTGAAAGATCTATATACAAGATACACCATGCAAAAGCCATCAGCGGTAGGCTTGACGTTATCACCACCAGAGCGGGTATTCCTGCATCCTTGTTTGCCTTGGGTCAAGAGCAGGTGACGCTCGCCGCAAGTGGAAGCTTTTTGGTCCATACAGGCACTAGCAGTAAAATGCAGTAGTTAGGGTAAACTATATACAAACAAAAAGGAACTATATACAAACAAAACCTTTGGAATATCTGTTGCAGGGTAGCTAGCAGCCCAGATACTTTGGTACTTTTCAATGAGGGCAGCCTCTAGCATAGCAGGACCACGCGGCTCCGTAGTGATGTACATCACAACCATGTTCGACCAACGGTCAGTGCAGCGACTATAGCCGTACATCTTGTTGCTCCAACGCCAAACAGGATTGTGCGTATACCCGAACTTGAATATAAGAGGGGTCCACTTGTCAAACAGATCTTCCGCAACAGTTGAACAATGACGCAGAACACCTCCCGCAGTTGCGTTTTTGTTTGACGGCAACCTGAAGTCTATACAGCCAATGGACTCCGCCTCATGAAGCATGAGCTTCAGGCCAGCATCACTAAACATGTCTGGAGTCAATGACTTGGAGATCTTTTGGAACAATTTGCTTTGGTGCAGCTCATCCATCTCTACATGGTTTTTGACTTCCGTTTGAGTAGTTTTGCCACACGGTTTCGGGTAGAGATCGAAGTTAGCCGTTCTTCGCCAGGCATATGGCACTCCACCTTCCTTGGCTCATGGGTGCGTTGCCGAGAACTCAGGCGAAACACCAAGTGTGAAAAGCGCTGGCCATAAAAACGTGAACAGGAGTTAGCAGAATCCAAGCCTCAACCCGATGGCAACTGAGAAGCTCTTCTAATTCAGCTTCTGGTGTTTGATCATGGCGACCGTTCTCGCAAAACATATCGGAAACGTGGGTTGTATATACATAAGGTGTGAAGCAAAAGAAGTGTATATATAGAGAGAGCAGGAGTTCTGTCCATTGCATTGGTTCATGCGAAGACTGTCTTTTGGAAAAGGATGAGGGGCTGGAAAACGTGTCCATCCATAACAGACTGTGAGCAAGAAGGGCCACGGGGCCACGAGCATGAAAGGGCTCACACCTCTCCCTGACACGGCTGCTGTTGAGGCCGCGGCTCCTGATCCAACGTCTGCAGAGATGACTCGAAGAGCCTGCCCGGCACCTGGCCCGGCCAGTACTGGGAGTCATGTTTTGGGTATAGTGAAGAAAGCTGTATACATGGTCAGCAGAAGCACTGGTTTTGCCTTCACCCCTTCTGGCAATATGCTTCGAAACTGAGTGTGTGGGCAGACAGCGCTATCAGCCTTCATCACACCATGCCGGTTGTGAAAAGAGGTTCCCAAATCTTGACACTTGAAACATGTTTGTTTTCAGGGAAGAAAGGCAACAGCGCTGCACGGCCACACCTGGCGCTTTAGATGACATATATGTATGTATACGTATTACGCATCACACTATGCAAGCAGGTTCTAGCCTGTTTTTTTTGACAGGTTCCCCGCAAGCCACAGTGTCAAAATCTTGCAGTACCCTAAAGGAATTGCACATAAACATTCAGGCCCATCACTTCTTGCGTTTTTTGGGGGCCTCCCCATTACCGTCATTACCCTTTGACATCTTCGCTTTCCTCTTCGCTGCTGCTCCTGGGTGCTCACCATTCCCTGGTGTGTCCTTCTTCTCAAATTTGAGGGCGTTCCTGCATGAAGGTTCAACTCCAGACACCCAAGAAAAAGTCGTCAGCAAGAGGGCACAAGAATAGTGGAACCCTGGATTGAGGCATCTACTTGATCTTGTCCATCATCGCCATCGCCTTGGAGCACCTGCAAACATCAAGGCCATATGAGTTTGAAGGCCACTCAAGTATATAATATATATAGTGTTTGTGTGCACAAGTTCTTGGTGAAGACGTGATGCGGTCAGTGTGTCAAAGTGTTTGTGTTTTTGAGCTTGGCACTCCATGGTAGCCTTCTTCATGCCCTGGTTGGCATCAGAAATGAACCTCAAGCCCCATGAACTAGATCAAAATCATTGAAGTTTTGTCTTGATCTTTCTTAAGTGCTTTTCGTCTTGAAATAGCTCACTCAGAGTTGCGATTATATATATATATGTGAACCAAGAAAGATTAAAGTTGACAAGAAACTTGTCTGCAAAGTTTGTGAACTCACCATTTGCCATGATATTGTGCAGGGTGTCATATTCAGCATCCATTTTGCCCAAAGCCCCCTGCAGAAGATTCGTGTTCCTGGCCAACAAGCGGAGCACTGGCTGGACGAGGATGTTAGAGGCACAAGAAAGAAACAAGCCTTGCTTTCATTGAAACAACCCCTGCGCATATGCACTCAAATTGTTCAACAAGATCGACCTCTATATATATATATATATAATATCTTTTTGTGGCTTATGCCAAAATGACACCAAACAATTCTGTTCTTGGTATATATACTTGATGGGTTTTACTGCAACTCACACGTTTGATGGTTGAGTAGTTGAGTGAAGTTTCTGGGCTGTGCTGGCGCAAGACGCATACTTCTCACGTAGCTCTTTCAGGAGTGATCTCGCTTTGCCACACTTCTGCAGCATGCTGTCCAGGAATCGCTTCAGTGTTGCTCTAGTCT